GGGGTCCCGCGGAGCCAGGCTCTCCCCTGCCCTGGACTCTGCCCCACGGGTGTGAATCAGGGTCCCACGGTCTCTCCTTAGGTCAGGGGCTCGGTCCGGGCGCCGCAGACGGCCCAGGGCCCAGCAGGCCTGGCCTGCACACCGGGCTTCCTGCCGGCGCCCCCAGGACAGGCCTCTGGTCTCGGGCGGGGCGGCGTGGCCTGGCCCTGCACAGGGAGCCCATTGTTCAGAGGAGGCGGCCAGCTGCAGGAAAGGGGCGGGTGCTGACGTAACTGCCCGCCGCGGGCAGGACCTGTGGAAGGGCAGAGCGGGCAGCTGGCGGAGCCCGGCCGGCGCTTTTCTTCCTTCCTGGCGCAGATGTCGGAAAGCGCGGCGGGCGGGCGGGCGGGCGGGCGGCGGCCAGCTGGAGCGGCGGCTACCGCCGGCTTCACGGCCAGGGCCGGCGCCCCGCGCGAGGCCTCCACTTTGGGGAGCTGCTGTTTCCATGCAATAGGTCGCCCCCCGCCCCGTCCCCGCGGCTCTGCGGCGGGGTCTGGCCCTCGGCAGGCTGACAGGCGCCGGGCCAGGCCCAGGCGGCCGGCCGGACGCAGACGGAGAAGCAAGCGCTTCATGGGCCGACAGCCCGGGGCCGCGGGCGGGTGGGGGGCAGCAGGCGGGAGGGGGCAGCGGCCGGCCAGCGGGGCGCTGACCCCAGCTGCCTGGGGGCCGGAGGCTCTCCGGAGCCCGGCCCAGCGGGGTCCCACGGGGTACAGTTGGGCCAGGGGGCCAGGGAGCCTGGACCCAAGATGGAGAACGGGGATCGTCTGTCCCCTGGGGGACGAACCCTGCACTGGGCATGTGGGGTCCCCGGCGCTGGCTGTCACCCCAGAGGCAGAGCGGGGGTCAGCGACCCTTCGCGTCCAGCAGATGGAAGAGGGTCTCGGTGTTTGCTGGCTTTGATTTCCCGAGAAGGCCCCGGTGCTCTCAGGGCACAGTTTGGGGGTGTCTGTCAGGCTCCGGCAGGGGAGACCCCGCTGAGACACGCCCACGAGGAGGCGCCCCAGCCTGGGGGCACCCCTCCCCACTGAACCCCTCCGCGGGCGCGGGACTGGGGCAGGACAGCTGTGTGGACGGCTGGGCCGGCCGGCTGCCGGCCCTGGGTAGAGTCGGGGTGTCACGGCCGGGGGGGCCGGCACTG